TTTTTTTTTTTTTTTTTTTTTTTTTTTTTTGGTACTGGGGATGGAACTCAGGACTTTGCGCCTGCCAGGCAGGTGCTGTGCCACAGAGCTATATTCCTGGCCCTCCTAGACCTTGACTTTTGATGTTCTTTTTTCTACATCTAAGTTCAGGAGAGAGAATTTAGCACACAGTGGGTATTTCCTGTAGTAGTGCCATCCTGGAGATTCACGGGCTGGGGTTGCTCACTACCGCTGGTTACTTGTATCTGTGGGTTAATGTCCTTACCTTTCCTTCTCTGCCCTATGATTTCCCCAGAGCTCAGTGTCTCCGATGACAGCTCCCTGTCTGATGGGCTACTTCTGGAGGAAGGTGAGAGGGACAGTTGGGAACTACAGTCAAGGCTGGGTTCCTCCTGCAAGAGCCTGGGCCTTTGGTAGAGTTTGCTAGTGAGGATGTCGGACAGGGAGGGGAAGGTTTAGTGAGCTCATGAAGGAAGAGGTGCCAGCCCAGCGTCTCACGAAGACTTGGTATCACTTTCCTCTGCACATGCTCAGTTGAGGGTGCGGGTGTGCAATCTCTCATTCTAGAAGTTTGACTGTTTTGATGAGGAAGAGAGAGGTGAATTCCAGCAGGGTCTGTCAACCCTGCTTGTCCTTCTACCCTGGGGCTTTATTTCAGGTTGAACCACCCAGAGCCTTTGAGCCATCTGTTCACAATCATTATCAGTCTCGAAAAGAAGGTAGCACTGGGGAGAAAACAAGAGTCTGTGGATTGAGAACCTGTACACCGCCCAGCATGGTGGTACACGCCTGTAATCCCAACATTTGGGAGGCTGATGCAGGAGGATTGCCTTGAGTTTGAGGCCAGCTTGGGCTACATAGTGAGGCCCCGTGTAAAAAACAGACAACAACCAAAGAATCCCACTGTATACCAGTGCTAAGGATGTCAGGATTCGAGGAGGTGGTACAGTCCTGCCCCGGGAAGTGCCCGGGCCAGTAGGAAACTAGGGCATGTGGGCATGCCAGGAAGAAGAAAAGCTGGTAATCGGAGGCTGGCTGCAGACGGCACCAAGAGCAAAGGTTAGAAGTGGAGTAATGTAAACCAAGGAAGTCAACCAGGGGAGGCTTCTCGGAGGAGGCAGGAGTAAAGCAGACCTGTGGGAGGGAGGGAGTCCCCAAAGTGATTCTAGTGTCTGGAGCTGGAGCTGGAGCAGTGGCAGGGAGTGCAGCGGGGCAAGCCAGACACGGGAGGGAGAAGGCACAGGCCGCAGAGGTTGTTGGGCTGGTTCCCCAGCCTTGGTCCTTACTAAGTTTCTTTTACCCTGCAGAGGACTCTCAAACACCAAAACCTCCCCCTGAATCCCCAGCCCCGCCTTCCCGGCCTCTCCCACCCCAGAGCCTCGAGGGGTTGCCGCCAGCAGGACCTGAGCCTAGGACCCTGGAGCGTGCCCCCATCCAGAGCAGCCCTTGGAAGGAGTCCAGCCTTGACCACCCTTATGAGAAGTCCAGGAAGTCTTCTGAGCCCAGCAGCGAGTCCAGGTCAGGCGGGTAGGGGGAGGAAGGGATAGGTGGGGCCAGCTTGGCTGGGCAGGAGGAAAAAGGGTCCCCTTAGCTGGTGACAGCAGAGGTATGACCACTGGCAGATCCCCAAGGGTGCTGGTGGTGTGTGCCTTCCCTTGGAGGCCCCCTTTCACTATGCCCCCATTCTGCACTTCATGAGGCCCTAGGTGGAGACATTGCTGTCACTGACTTCTCTGTAATCCCTCTGCAGCAGCCTGGCCACCACACCCCAGGACGAGCCCAGTACTTCCAGCCTGTGGCTGCTGGAGCCGGCCTCCTACCACGTGGTACCTATCCGCAGTGCCCCAGGACAGCGGCAGGGTCGCACAAGCGCCCCGGCCACCCCCGAGATGCAGGTCAGGAGAGGCCAGTCACAATCTCTGAGGTAAGAGAACCTACCCTGGAGGCACAGGGACACTCGCCACCAGCACTACAGCGGGAGGGCAGACGCCTCCAGGAAGCAGGGACACTCTGGGTGTTATGGCACATACTCTATAATCCCAGTACTTGGGAGGCTGAGGCAGGAGGATAACAAGTTGGAGGCCAGTCTGGACAATTTAGTGAGACCTTGTTTCAAAATAAAATATACTAAAAAGAAGGTTGGGGATATAGCTCAGTGGTAGAGCACTTGGCTAGGAGGCCTTGGGTTCAATCCCCAGTACCACACACACATAAGATCACTCGAGGGGGCACTTTACATAGTACAATCAACAAAAGCACAAAAATGCAAAGAAGATTTTTTAAGGTATACTAAGAAATAACACAAAAGCAACCCTTGCTTCCAGTCTTGAGAGAAACAAGGCAGAAGGCACAGCTTAACCTTGTTCCACCTCAGCTATGGATGTGCAACTAAAATTTTTTGATGTTCTGATATTGTCTTTAAGTGATTGTGACTATACTGTGCATCCTGATTTTGGAATTAGCAAATAGGTTTTAGGCAAATTCAAAAATACTGAATCTACCAATAATGAGAATTTCCCGTGTGCTCCTTGTCGAGGTCCCTGCTACCTGGGAGTTTCAGTGGCTAAGTCCTGCCAGGCAGTGTTAGCCACACCACATGGGGGGCCCGGGGTGCCATGAGAGCCTCTCCAGGTTGTTCCTCGGGCAGCAGTGGGCCAGGTGCAGCATGGATAGCTGCTTTCAAGCGATGCATTTTCTATTTTATCTGTGACCAGGTCATTTTCCAAACAGCACCTTTGTGCGGATTAGCAAAAGGCTGAGTGTTCAAGCCTCATGCCTGAGTGCGTAAGTGGGGTTAGATTTCCACCCCATCTGGTCCTGGGCTTCCCAGAGCTGCCCTCACAACCATGAGATGGCTTTTCACATTCAAGTTCAGCGCCTGACAGTGTCTGCCTGGACAGATTCGGTGGATGAGCTGCCACCGAACACAGTGGACCGCAGAACTGGCTGGGAATACGTGACCCGGCTGTAGGATGGTGTTGGCTTTCCATATCTCTGGGCTCCACACCTGTGAGTTCAGCCAACTGAAGATCAAAAATATAATTTTTTAAAAAATCACATCTGTACCAGACATTTTAAAACATAGACTTGTTTTTTTGTACTGCTGGAATCTAACCAGGGCCTTATGCACATTAGACAAACACTACCTCTGAGCCATGTCCTCAGCCTGTCAGACACTTTTTTGCTTATCATTATTCCCTAGACATACAGTATTAGGACTATTTACATAGCATTTACACTGTGGTAAGTGTTCGAAGTACTCCGCAGAGATGGTTAAGGTAGACAGGAGGCTGTGTGCAGGTTATCTAGGAACACTGTATCATTTTCTACAAGGAACTTGAGCACCTATGGATTTTGGTATCCACGGGGCTGCTAGAACCAATTCCCATCAAGAGTCAGCTATTGTTTTCCCTTGGTCCTGATGTGGAAAGTCCCGGGGAAGGCACTCCACACCGAGGGAATGTGGGTGGGGTTCCTTCATTTGCTGGGGAGATTTGAACTAAGCCTGGGTAGGCCTAATGGCTGACCTCGAGGTGGGCGGTGCTGCTCCCGCGATGCTCCCGGCCCCAGCTCCTCTGCTCCCCGCAGGGTGGACTCCTTCAGGGCCGGGGCCGAGGGCCGAGGACGCAGC